AAGAACAAACAACCGTGACAGTAAAACAGATGTAGGAATATACTACGCTGAATATTTTCAACCCAGTTTTTGCCTGTTTGTTTGAATTTAATCCTTAATTATCGTGTAAGAAAATTGGTATAAAGATATACAACGTATTATCGTGAAGCGCAAAGGCGAGGGTAAAAATAGGCCGCGCGCCGCTTAGTTTGAATTTACAATCACTCCGTAGGAAGGGTTGTCTATGGTACAAAGTATAAGCGCAAGAGTCAAAATGTACTATGATTCAACAACACAAATTACATGTTATATAAGTACATTTTAAATTACATCTGTCAAATGTATGATGAACAGTTGTTAGTAGAATGTTATTTAGATACCAAAAATATCTGTACAATGAAAAACCAACCTAACACTTTGTATACATCACAGTTATATAGAACAGGGGCAAACATCCAGGAGGCGCTGATAGCGTCGCCCATGGACACACTCCATTGAGTGTTGAAAGGCATTCCTTGTCGAAGTCCGATGTCTGCCTTTTAAGAATTGATGCGCTCTTTTGTATGACCCTTAATTGTTTCGGAAATACCTCGACGTGCAGCTGGTAACAGTGCACGAAGTATAGTGGTGGTGCGTAGCAAAAAGTATTGTTAAATTCAAAGGTCGCTTTATCTTTTATTTAGCACCACAGCCATGCAAGCTCAAGTAACAGTGACATATGCAAATTTCGACACCCGCCCGCTACCGAGTTTAATTTATCAACCTCCCACTGTTTTTATTTGTTTAGCTCCAAATAGCACTTAATCAACTTGGTTAAGTTCAACAGAGAGGAAGAAGTGATCAAAATGTGAATACAAGAGCCTCTTTACATATTTGAACTTTATAAGTATTTAATTCTAAACGTCACTTTCTTATATGTCGATAATTCTGGTAGAAAACATATTCAGTATCGTTACCGCAGTAAGAGATGTTATTGATAGAATAGAGAAAGTACCCAGAAGGCTTTTAGAAAGTAATCTAAATTACCAGCTGGAAGGTTTGACACCTTCAAAATATTGAGGTTCTTGCTTATCCACGGTAAGGCGCAATAGGCCACAGCGTATTTGACGATGAATTAATAATTTAAGGTATATTTTCTGCTGAATATTTTCAAGAAAACAGAAACATAACTTGGCGTTTAAAAAGAATGACGGAGAGTTTATCGCCAATTCTCGCTCGTTCTACCCCCTTGATTTGAGAAATGGCAGTAAATGTAAATTGACATTAGGTTACCTATAGGTATGAATAAATTATATTTGGATTTTGTAAATTATTTCACGTCTAATTTATTAGTAAGACTTATTACTCGCTTTGTTTATATTGTAAGCTTATGTAACTTTTTAAACAACAAGACCTTTCACACATTCACTATTATATTTCTTCATATATGTTTCATAAACCCATATATATATAATAACTAAATATTTATTTACTACATAAAAATGCCAAACAATATTTGAAACTACACTTTTAACCCAAAAAATTTATTAGCAGAAAAAACAAGAGAATAATAGTATTGTCTTTGATTGACATAACCTTTACACATTTAAAGAAAAAACTTTTTTTTATATAATATTATAACTAGCCGTTTCGCGCCCGCTTTGCTGGACGAATTAAAATAAATTGTATGTTTCATTATTTTATTTTTTTTCATATTTTTATTATTCTTCTTTTTAACTTCCCGCTAAGAAAATTTAAATATTTCGAAAATCGAGTTTTTAACAGATGTTGACGTTTAGAGGTTCTAGGAAGCCTCCCCGAATGTTTCCGCGGTGAAGTCCGTATGGATAAATTTTCATAAAAGTAAAACAGCAATAAAAAAATGAAGGAACGTTGGAATTTAATAAATAGCCATAAACCTAGGAAAAATTTCGCATCGAATGGTGGTAGTTTCATGTCGATACGATCAGTGGTTTAGGCGTGAAGGAGCCTCAAACGAAGACCATTTTCCTTTTATATATATATAGATTATTTAACATAATTGTAAATTTATAATTATACATAACTTTAATCCGGTTAATAAGTTTTTTCTTCAAGAGAATAATTTTTCTGATTTTATTCTTCTTTTTATTATCCAACCTCATTTGACTGTTATAAATAAAAATAGTATGAATGTAACCAGATTTGATGATTTTTACATTAAACATACCGATACATAAACACTACACTCGTAACTTATATACTTCTTTAAATTATTAAGAATGTTCTTTTATTATTTAAAAATAAAATATCTTGCATGCGTCTCTCAGTCTTCCCAAGTTTGTTTTTCAAAAAACTAATAAATATAAAAGCTAAAAGCTCCTGGATAAGAATTGAAAGGGTCTGATGCAGTTGTCTATTCGTATTTCTTAACGAATCGCTTTAAAAAACTCGGCCACATCGGTCACAGACCCCAGTCCTTTAGTGGCCTATTAGTTCTTAAATATGAAAACAGGAAACAACATCAGAGCAAAGTCTAAATAGAAGAATATGGCCTTGGCTATTTTAATTTTATTTCTTAGCCTACCTTGCCATGATGTGTGGTGTTGTCATGGTGTGTATCTGCCAGTACTGGATCTTCGGTAGAAATGTCGTGACCGTGTCTATGAGCGCAGTGTCCCGGTATCTGTAACAATCGACATAAGTATTATTTGCAATAACGTAACGAGGATTTATATTGTGAACTGTTAGCCAAGCCGCGCAAATCTCAACCCAATACGTCCTGCGTCCGTTTCTGGTTCTTTATTGGCAACTCTATTCGATGTTTGGATTTAAGCCATGTTGGGACTGGTGTTCAAAAAATTCCGATTGCAATAGTGATACTAATCTCGATGTTGTATGCTATTACGATGTAGTTTTATATCTGCAGCGCTTATGATGCGTTCTCGCGTCATGGGGTACAAAAACTCAACTTTGAAGTCAGGACTGCAATCGCTCTTAGGAGATGATTTTTACCATCACAATACGAGCGAGGAAAGTCTCACTAAAGGTGAGAGCACGGGTTTGCACCCCAAGGAAGAAACAAGCCTAAATGCTAGGCTAACAGTACTTTGTTAGCTGATGTATGTCTAAAATCGAATGAATAGTTATGGCGTAGAAATTAAATAATTATTAACACTTATCATTACGGGTTATAGCACCATTTCTGGTTTATTTTTACTGATGTAGTAACATATTTGGGCTGATTTTTGCTGTGTAACGTAATAAAGTATTGTATATTAATTTTGTAAATAAATTGTTAACAGACCCTTCACCGGCGAAGATGCATTTATGCGTGTATTTTATTGTTTCTGTGCCTACCAACCCGAAACAATTATATTAGTGCAATACATCTATATGGGATACGCATCCCTAATTGATAAAATTAAAATAGTATGTCGAAGATTGAAAAGTTATTTCAAACACAAGTGTATATTTTCTGAGCAATTTATCAGCATCTTATCAGAGAGCCGCGGACAGAGCATTATCCGAGCCACTGAGCTTCGCGGTACATTAGTGCGGGTACATTAGACCCGGCTACCTAAATGTCCGGCTGTCGATAACATACTATAATTGGATTAATTTCGTTTGAGGTTTTTTATTCCTTTTTGCTATGTGAAAATGTACGGCGCTGTTGCTTTGTTGGTAACTTGGCTTCTTTTAATTATAAAAGAATAATTTTAGGAGAGTGAGGATTGGTCATATACTTTTCTACCTCATGTAAGCTTAACCAATCTTTTGATTATTTTGATATAAGCCGAAAATTTCAACAGAATAAAATTTTATGAATTATTTGCTATAGTTAAAATGGTGTTTGTCGTCTTTGAGTCTGCTTTTTTGTAGCTTTGAATACTCGGTCTATTAAATAATGATATATGAGCGTGAAGGTAATGGAAGCTATCATTATCTTTCTGTTTTCATATTGTCTATAAATACACACAATTTTCACTCTAATTTTAATTACTTGCTTTCTACATCTGTAATTTTAATTACAGAAGTAGAAAGCTCGCAGAAAATCTCGAAAAATATCTCCGCAAGCTTCTCACCGCTTCTTAGCGCGAAAGTTTTTTTAAATACTTAATATTATTTTTATTTCCAATGAATTTTTATTACAATATATCATCATTGCCTTTATTTAGTCTGGGTAGTATATGCGACATACTAGTATGCATGCCGTATATTTTTACCAATCGGTTGGAGTAATATAACACACTGGGACCACCTGGATCCAGATTGAGAATGTAAAACGAAATAGTGATATGAATGAATCCGCCCGCATCGCATTTCGTGTGTGTTGATGTTCGTTTGGGCTAGAGATGCAGTTGACCAATCACAAACAAACGAAACGCGGCCGTGTTGCGTCTTTCGTTTTTTTGTTCTCGAGCCCCATTCCTTTTTACCTTGGCTAGACTATGGTGGAAGAGCAGAGTTGGCCTAGTGGTTTTAATGCGTTAATTCGGACATTGTACGTTCGAATCATGGCTGCACAAATGCACGTTTCTTTCTATGTGCGCAATTAACACTCGCTTGTTTGTAAAGGAAAATGTCGTTAGGAAACCGGTATGTCTTAGACATAAAAAACGTGTGTGTGAGCCGCAGACGGTAGATAAACTACTTGCCTATTAAAAAGTGGTCGTGAAACCGATACAGAAATCTGATCTGCAGGTTGTGGCGTCACTGTTTTTTTACTGTCCAAAGAAACTGCACTTGACAACTGTGCTTTTCTACAGAATAATAAATAACCGGACTTTGAAATGAACAGCTGGTATAGCTATAATAGAATGTTATCAAGAAAAAACATTGTGGGACTTGGCGATATTGATCCTATTAGCCTATTAACTATTATTAATCGGAACGCAAGCGAGCTATATTCTACACAAACTCTTTCGCAAATAACTGGCCATATAGATGTGCTAAAAAGATAATTCTATTCACGGTATTCACGCTACTCTGTTGCTATAGCAACGTTTGTTTTATCATTATTATCGACTACGAATATCGTAAAAGCTGCACTTTGTAGAAAAATGGTGCTTTTCCTTGTAAAAAGAGGTGACGAAAACCAATTTCTATATGAAACAAATGTTGAAAATTCAGTAGATGACGTAGTAAGGGATATTGCGTCGATATTCAACGGACGATTGAAGATTACGAGAATTTGTTACGAGTTAGAGGAACTATGGAAGCATGGAACGTTTTTACCTACAGAAATGCAGGGGCTCACAGAAGAACAGGTTAGTTGCAATACATTCTATAATATACCGTTTCACAGGGTATTCCATGTTTTGATAACATTCTCTAATATGTAAAAATAGGTTTATTTTTTAACGATAGGAATTTGGACTTAGGTGAAATTTTGGTTGACATTTATTGATTCTGTAAAAATAATAACTTAAAAACCGTAAAAAGAGAGAAAGATTCAGCTGCACAAGTTGCATGGAAGCTATTTCATACTGAAATTGTGTAGTAATACTCATACATGACTTATTACTATTATAGATACTAGAATTAAAGCTAGAAGATCCATGGGCAAAACGGTGTGCCCCACAAGGGTACGTGGTGGCAAAAGACGAAATGGGACGTCGCTGTGGCCTTGCCCCACCACCAAATCTTCAGGAAGTGCTTAAAAAAGCCGCTGAGTTTGCTAAAGAAACGATAAGTAAGAAACACGTAAGTATATTTTTTAAGCAGCTATTTTAACGTATTATTAAATAATTATAGTTTTTAAAACAACTTTTATTCTAACATTGTTTTTTGACATTACAAATAAGTTCTAAATATTTTTTCTTATTCGTTGTATCAAATTATATATTGTAAACATTTTAACAGGAATCCTAAATACAATTAGTTGTAAACATCTTTAGAAAACTCTAATTTGCAATATTCCTTTCGTAAAAAACGAAATAATTTGTAGGTCGACCTTCGAAAGTGTATGACTCAAAAAGATGTAGCAAGGGCCTTGGAAGAACTCCTTGGTGCAACCAAAATCGTCTTTCCTGCTGGACTTCCTCCCCACGACCCTGTTAGAATGGAGCTCGATAATGTTGAGGATCTGACTGGAACCCAGGCAGCCAACGAGGTGATCGACCCAACCAGGGCCTGCCTTTGGGCTTGCGGGAAAAAATTTATCAACGGAAATAAGCTCAGTGATCATTTGGGTATGAATTATGTTTTTTTTATTAACGATGTAATCCAAGGAAATTTCAAAATCGTAGGGGTTTACACATGTCATGTACTCGTTGTGTACTTATATATTTGGTACACGGATTTATTAAAAATGCAATAGAAGCTTCTTGGTGATAATAATTTCTTCTTGAACCTTTGATCTGTAAGGAAGTTATTCTAGTAAGTTCACATATTATCATGTCTTTATAGAAAGTGGAATATAGGAACATTGCAAACTAAGTTTGAACATAAAATATAAGCTTAGATACATCTATATTCATATTTTCAGGTAAAAATGACAAAACCAAAGTTACAGTAAAGTTGTGCAGTGCATCGGAAGCAGCACCAGGAAGGGAGCCAATACTGACCGAAGACGAAAGAAAACAGTTAATGCTACAAGCATACAGGAAACAGGAGGAATGGAAGAAATTAGAGCAAGATGATGATGACAACTACTTGAACTCCAAGTGGTCTGACGGACAGAATCTAAAGAGGCAATTTCATGGTTTGAATAACATATCTTGGAGACCAGGTGGAAAATAATACGAAAAAAGCTTATGTTGTGCTTATGCAATTAAAAATAGTCTATTCCAAATTGAAATGCAATTAACCTTATTTACATTTATTGTTAAGACAATTCAAACAATATAATTTGTTACTTTCGATCGCGACTAAACTTTGAATTACTTAGAACTTTGAATTTGTTAGTTCATTGATCCGTTTTAATAATATTTTAATAAGAGTTATGTTCTTCTTTCTGCTGAAACAATTCAAGCAAGGTTTCTACTTGATTTTACGTACAAGGTGTACGTAAAATCAAGTAGAAACGGTTTTAATTAAAAGCCATGTATTTACTTTATAATAAATTGTATTTAAGTTTTTAGTATATATTGCTTGTGTGACGTAAACATTAAAATGTTAATACAAATATTCGTTTTATTTAACACAAAACTCAAATTATTTTTAAATATTTAATTAATGTAAATAACGAATAACCTAAATTTTGAATAATATATATTTGGAAATACGTCTTAAAATATATACACTTATCAGTTTTTATAAATGGTAACAAGGATATTGAACCCTTAAAAATATTTGATGAAGTATATAATGTACTGTATTGTAAAAGATTTATGTTTGCACAGTCACAATGTACACAAGGAAATTACCAATTAACCCGATTTTAACGTTAATAATATTTTCATATTATATGGATGATTAATTTTATAGTTATCACTAACAATATTATAAAAGACTAGTAGACTCGGCCAAGCGTTGCTGTGGCTAAGATTTTTGTTATATTAAATAGTAGTAAACTATTCAAGAGAAACGGCAGGAGAACACCATTCCACCATGCCACCATATAGATAGTGATGTGTCCTGAAAAATTGTAATACATCATTTTGTTCTATCATTAATAGTTTTCGCAGCGCACGCGATTGAATGAAGTTTTTTGTTTATTTTTTTACACCTTGGGTTAGATTATTCAAGTTTTAGTAAGCATCCCTTTTTTTGAAAATGTAACATAGCCTATGTCACTCGGTAATAGTGCAGCTTGCCAACGGTGAAAGAATTTTTGAAATCGGTTTAGTGGTTTCGGAGCCTATTCATTTCAAACAAACAAAAAATCAAATCTTTCCTCTTTATATATTTATTGGTATAGATATTTATTTATAGTCACGTAAAGTGGTATTCAAGTAATAGAAACTAGATAAATCCTTAACAGCTTAATATGGTAAGCACTAAGTTTTTAATAAGAAGAGAGCAGTGGGTTAAAAGGGGACGATATGACAAGGATACAAAAGGGAATGCTTCCGTGGTTTGGCTGTGTAGAACGGATGAATGAGAAGCAGTTAACAAGTAGGATATAAGGAAACTGTGAATGGTGAGATCGGGATGGGTAGGCATTGTCGTACATACCAGAACTAAATTCAGGAGTTCTCAGTACTAGAGAAGGGACAAGTTTAAAGTACCCATAACCGACGAGCATGCATGGTGAATGTCATGACAGTGGGTGAAGAGAGAGAGGTATGTCAGGACGTGGAGATCCGTGCCTACCCTTTCGAAAAAAGGCGTGAGGAGAGATATTTTTATTAATATTATTTAATAGAATTAAGTATAATTTAAATAAAGTCTTCTGTAATCACTTTTTTGTGTGTTTAGGTTGTTTGTAGGTTATTTTTCATAAAAAAGTTTACAAGTTATGAAAATATTCTGTGAACGTTTTCGTTAAGCCAACTGAACCCTTGTTTATAAATAATAATGTATAACTGAATTTAAAAAGAATTCCAAACCCAAACGAATAAATCGTACGTGACAAATGTTTTACAAAAATTGGAGCCATTCAAAGAACCTGTTAACGAAATGGACTAAACTTCTGGAAATGAAAAGTAGGTTTTCAAAATGTATTCCCAGTTAATTGTTACCACCGTTCTTGAAGCTGTACATGCTTAAAACTATCGTTTAGAAGCAACATTACCACATAGAAATTCGGATTCGCAGTTATACACGTCAAACCACATTCACGAAAGCGTAATTCACCTGTCCACCTACAGAAAAATCCCAGTCATTTCCGGATTCTTTCACAGATGTAACATGACGCTTTCATAATTACATCGCTCATTAGCGATGATGGGCCAAATCCATTCATCCGGGTCGCACATACCCGGGTACCCTTACACTCGGCCCGTTAACCGGTTCTAGTTGATTACAGGTATTACCGGATTATCCGGTGATGGATGCACTGAGGGTTTATGAGATAATTGCTCTGGTTGGGGTTATAAAAGTGTGTATAATTTCCTGTTTGCAATCGAAAGTATCATCTATTGGGCTATTGCTAAAGCTCACCTTTACTTTGATATCCTGCGCCGTTTAAAATAAAGTTTATTAATGAAATTCGGCATTTTGCATAAATATAAGTAAAATAATTATTGTTTAAATTATTATATAGAGAGGCAACAATCTCGTCCACCCATATTGATTTAATAGATTAGCATTTATGAGCCAATATTATAAATAATTTCGGGGAACTTAATTCACAATTTTCATATTCATTGCGTCATCCGGGTAATTATTGTTCGAAATCTATTCTCTACTCGGTCATTATAAATTATATAAATCAGCGCACACGCTAAATAATATGGCAGTAAAAGAGGTACCGTGAACCAAAACAAAAGCAAAAACATAAACAGAAAATCATCATATATAATTGATCTTTATCTTACATTTTATTTCAATATAATCTAATCTAATTTAATTCATTCATTTTAGTATTAATAATTATATTATGTATTTGCCTTTGTATCTAGACGAGTATTAAATATCAATTTGATTTATTATTTAATGCTGAGTTTTCATTAAAATTTCCGCAAACATTTCCCACACTTTAAAGCTTTGAAGTTTACATCAGAGCTAATTCTATTACCCCGAATTACTTTTATCTAGTTAGTTCAAACGCGGCACAATCTCAGTTATTACCTCCATATGTGGTCTGCTGACAATAGATTTTTCCCCAAAGATATTGATATTCTCACACTCTAGTACCAATTCGAGCTATTAAAGTAATGGCTGATGGAATGAAGTAGAGTGATGTAGATTCCATTAAACGAATTACGTGCATTAGTTGCCTTTGGTGCGAAATTGGTAGACTTTTCTTGAACGATAAGAGTGAAATTGGTAACAAAAATCTATATATATAAAAATGAAACCCGTTTTCCGTTGTCACGACATAACATGAAAACGGCTTGACCGATTTGTCTGATTTTTTTTTATATAATATTTCTTGAAGTATGAGGATGGTTGGTGGATGGAAAAATTTAAAAAAATTGAGTGATAAAGTCTAAAAACAACACTTCTATATTCCCATACAAAATATTCGTAATAATACTTAAAAGTCAATTTGAACTTTAATACTATAACATAAAATTCAAGTGTTAGTGGAGGGGTTTCGGGAAGGTAAATTTTTATTTTTTGACATAATGTATTTGTTGTCTTTTCAACTTTTTTTTTATCTTACTAGCTAGACCGGTGTCCCGAATAGCAGAATAAGTATTTAAAAAAAATAAAGAATCGACTGTTAGGCGGTACGATGTTCGCCAGGCCAGCTAGTATGTTTATAAAAATAAAAATATAAAAATACATTCATTGGGTTGTTTATACAAGGGAATAAATGTTACGTAATTATTAACGTATTGTACAATATCTTCACGTTCTTAGGAAATATTCTTAAGCCAAATAAATCTCAATCCATCAATTTATTTGTCATCATATTACAAAACCTACAATAAGGGTACGCCTGTTCCATTTAACTCAAAATGATGATGTGTTTTTGGTTAATAGTACATCAATATTCATCGATGTCAGAGTTTATATGAGCGTCATATCATTATCATTCAACACGCCACCCTGGATTATAAATGATGGATAAACTTTGCCATAAATTATCCTATAATATCGTGGCAAAAAAACTGAAAGTATAAAATAAACAATAACATAACAACGACCTGAAAATTCATGGAAACTTTACATTAACAATTCTTTAATTCGTTTAGTGATGCGTAATGTGAGTCGCATGCTCGATATTGAAAAAGGAAAAGCAATACGTAGCACACTTAAACACTTTGCTACGAAGGTATCGTTCTTAGTCGTAGCACTTTTGAATTCTCGTAGCTTTTGAGCCATCGTGTACCTACTGAGCTTACAAGGATACAACATTTAACGATGTCCACATAAGTTGTTCGTAGCGAAAAATATATTCGTAGCATTAACTTTCGATGCTTATCTTGCATATATACCAAGATTTATATCAGAATACTAATCCTATATACAGTATAAAACGTTATAGTTAAACTAGTTATTATTATATATTGTTTTGAAACAAAAGCTTTTGAGCTTAAGATATGGCATATTGGAGAAAATACATGAGATAACATAAAGTATGTGCCTTTATTGTCACCATCAACTTGATACACTCACAATCAACGTAAGATTACGCTTTATTGTTTTGCTTTTGTTTTGTTTTATGTCTTTTCAAATCTTTGTTGTGTTCGTCACAATACGAGTGTATTTTATGTTAATAGCGAAAAGTAATAACTTTATCTCTGAGTACTATTGTTATGAATATTCATGATACAGCGTTATTGATGACATTCAGTATTTTTCTTGTTATTTTTATTAAATACCGCAAAATGACCTATTGTCCGACGACCGAGCAAGTTAAAATATACCGCCCGTTTTGTTAACATTTGACCGTGTTCGTTCTATTTATGTTTACTCAGCATAAAGCCCGGAAAATTTACTGCCTTATTTTTATTAGATTTTGCCGCATAATTCCAGTACTGCTTTCAATTTGTAATAACATCAAATCTTAATTTTATATAACCCTGATTTTTGAATCATTGAACTATTAACTTTAATAAAGTATAGGGTAAAATATTTTGTAAATATATAAATCGGTGATACAACTAAACTGTTCCTGCCAATAGAACTTGCCTAAATGCAGTGCCCGTAGTTTGTAACTCCTATTAGTGCTAGTGATTGCAATC